CCTCCAAACTTACATGGCCCATTTCACTTATGCTCAAGACATCAACTTTGGAATTCCCACCCCAATAATCTGTTCTCTCATTTTTTCTTTTGGAGTTCATGGAAGCAAAATCTCCAGAATCATCTTTTTGAAACGTTTCAGAAGCTTTATTTGAGTCATTATCATTTTTCTTTTTCCCAGTTCCGAAACAAGGAGTGCCTTCCTCTACCTTGCCAACTAATCCATGAAAAGCATGTGATGAGCTTGCTGTTGAAGGATGGGCTACTGTAGGATCATTTGACAGACAAGATGAATCATCATGCTGAATTTTGTTGAGGTCCAGAAGCCCTGCTTCACATGAACCAAAATGTTGCCTCGTGGTGGACAAATTGTTAATTGGGATACCACCAGAACGCTTTTTTAGTCCTGAAAATGAGACAAACACAAAGTCCAAAATGCACAAGACTATAAGTTCTGAAATTCAACTTAATGCAGACTATGAAAGATAGCTCTACACAGATAAATGAGCCGTACCTTGATTGAAAGGATTCCACTCACTGTAATCTGAAAGGGGGTTACTGTCTGCAGCATGAAACAATAGATTTTCCTTCCCACAACTTGAGACGATAGGATCAAAAAGGACAGAAACTTCAGAATCGTGCTTGGCCCCGAAGTTTTTTATTGGAGTAGCACTGCTGAAAGAGGGTGAGTGTTCCAAACCCTCGATTGATGTCCTCTCAATTGATTCTTCTAAATCAATCACTTGCTGTGAGCAGGAATGAGTTTCTACATCAAACCAAGCTCTCTTAGTACCTCCCTCTCTCCTACTGTCTTCTTGAATGCTCAGGGAAAGCGTCAACTCTGCTGGATCTGTGAAATTATCACAACAAAGAGAACTCCTAAGTCCCACTGTTACTTTCAAGTGGTCTCTTGTATTATTATTCTTCAGGAGATTCTTACCAATATAGCTAATGCATTGAACCGAGGGAAGTTTAAGATCAGGAGTCCTCGGCTGAATCTTATCATATACACCTTTGTACCCTTCTAAGAAGTCCTGAAATATAGATTGTGTTAATACAACTTGAAAGACAAGCACAAGCACAAGCTCATCACATTAACACTATCAAATTACAAATAATCCGAAATGAAACTAGGTCGCTCATCGACTCATTCATAGAGGCTAGATATTTCTTTTTATCTCTGCCTCAGGCTACACCAAATGCAGATAGATCTTAAGAGTAAATTAGTTGGTAAGCATGTAACAATGAAAAAACCATATTTTGGTCCAAATATTATTTATTAGACCTGCGTCTATCAGTTCCAAAAGACCACCAAATACATTAGTACAAAAAAATAGCAAAAGGGAAGCTGGCTGCCTTCCATTCTCCTTTATCATAGAACCACTCATCCTAAGGCTTAGGAAGTCAAAGATCACTTACCATAGGTTCATCTCGTGTAGAATTTCTGCAAGGTAACAGAGTTGACTCAGCACTAGCCTTCCTGAAATTGTATCTACCAAACTCCATCCTGCCAACGTTCTGCATCAGTGCCTTCTGTATCCCATATAGATGATGGAGTTCATGAACCTGGAGGGAAATCAGTAGCAAGAAAGTTAAGTAGAGTGGAGCCTATTTTGTGCACTTTTTCTACTTAAATACATGTAAGGCCACTGTACATTGGAGCCTGCTTTAGAGTAAAAGCCAAAGTTTCTAATCTGCCAAAATTAAGCAGCATAAGGATTACATGTGTAATTGATACATATTCTGTTTTTCAAACCTTACATACCATCAATCAATGTCAAGGTTTGCCCAATACAAAGTTCTTTTATATGTTAACTAACCAATCATGTACATGCACACAAAATTATGCCCGTGCATGACTCAAATTTATCCTGTGATTTATAATATCGTAATACCTGCTTTTTAAACATAACCTCCTGGTTGAGCATAGTTGTCCTGAAAACATCATTCAGAGAACCAGTGTATGCTTGCATTGACTTCGGATCAAGATCTCCTCGCATCAACATATTTATTTTTCTGAAATTACATCAAATCAGATTTTACATATTTAAGCACGAAAAAGTTTATAAAGGATTTCCACAATGTACTACATACCTAGTACTTCAAAGCTCTGTCTAAGAATTTCACGTAATAATTCAGTACTAATTAAATTTAAGACCACCAATTGATGAAAAGGATTGTCTTTTCTCTGAAAAATGCGAAGTGGTTTGTAAAGAAATACTGTACGGCAATTGTTACACAGGCATTGAAACCGGCAAACCAAATCTTTGTTCTTTACCATTTGAAGGAAAAGTTTTCCCATAACTTGTTATGTTCTCTCACTATTTACCCACCATCTGACTGCTGTTTGTGACTATCTATCTTGTACCACCTATTCCCCCTCCCTCTCCTCAGTAGTTTGACTAACAACTAAACTATTGAAATTAAAATTAAAACAATATAATAAACGCAAATGCACTTCATGATTGCACTAATCAGAATTAATGGCTAATTAATGAGACCTCTATATCCTAGTTGCAACACAATGAGGTAGAAATGATGACTCTTGATAAGATGATATCCTGTTTGTGAGACAAGTTGGATTAAATTCTTCATTTCTGCTATTTGGGGAAAAAGGTTTTGTGGTGGATAAGTAACTAACATGGCTCATGGAAATGGTTTTGTTGACAAAGTAATTCCAAGTAAAGGCACTATACTATTAATGCATCAAACTATTTGGAAAAACAGAGAAGAAAAACCAAAAGATCATTCATTACTTTGTAACAACTCAAAGAACAAAAGAACCTGGTTATCAACAACTACACAACACCATTCAAACTTCAACACCCAATTATTTCAATGTAACATGCCAATAAACAGAAATCCCATATGGCAAAATTCAAGTAGACGATAACCCAAATTCCAAAAACACTTCAAACCCCAGTATATGCGTTTATGCACTCATATCACACGTACGAACATACGCATACATCTGTAAAATTTGGAAATGCAGAGAGAAGGAGAGAGAGAGTACCAAGACGTAAACGACCCAAAAGCCGAGCTATCTGCCTTCTAGTCAACGGTGGCTTAAGTTTCACAATCCACTAAGGCACTAACCAATACAATATCTGAAAAATCTTAATTGGTTGATTGAGAGAGAGAGTGTAGTACTAGAAAACAAAGCCGAATGAACTTGCATGTTGGAGCTATTTTTGATACAAGCGACAATCAGAAAAAAAGATTCGAACACAGACCTCGGTGGTGCATGATAAATGCTACTTACTATGTGAGCTACACTTACAAGTCCCGTGCCATAATGGAGCTATTTAAAGGGTTATTCGTAGAATCGTAGCAATGGTCCCTCAACTATACTCGAGGTTATATTTTGGTCACTCAACTCAAATATTAGTTGCAGAGGTCACTCAATTGGGTGTTGTGTTGCACCATTAGTCCTTACCGTCAAGTCTGTGACTTTTTCTGTTAAAAATGATGACATGACAAGCATCTATTGATGGGCAAATGTGACTTTTTAGTTACGATTATTTGTAGCAATGATCCCTCAACTATACTCAGAGTTACATTTTGGTCACTCAACTCCAAAATTAGTTACAGAGGTCACTCAATTAGGTGTTGTGTTGCACCATTAGTCCCTACCGTTAGAGCTGCAACTAATATTTGAGTTGAGTGACCAAAATGTAACTCCGAGTATAGTTGAGGGACCATTGTTACAAATAACCCCTATTTAAAAATCATAATCTCAATAAATAAATAAATAAAATTTAGAATTTAACATACTAATATATTTTTAGTTCAATGCCATTATCTCATCAAAATTACATAAAGCTGGTGTGGGGCATGTACAAGCCAAGGAAGATGACGCATAAGGATTCGGAGAGTTGACATGATTGAGGCATCGTAGTAGTCTCTCTCACTGATCACTAAACAGGGCTTGGTCCATTGGCATTTATCTTCTGTGTTCATGATTGAAGCATGCTTGTTCCCAAAGGGTGGCAATTAGTGGCTTTGCTTCCACTCATCACTTTATTCAATTGTTTATTAGTTTCCTTGGATTTTCATGCTAATGAAATCGTATGATGCAGCAGATGTTTCTAAATTAGATTGGATAGATTGTTATTAAATTGAATTAATTTGGATTAGGTAAATGGAATAAGATAAATTTCATATTATACTATGTTTGACAGATTCTTAAAAAATGTTATCTTGTGATTGATTTCGTTGTTTCAGATTCAAATTTTGAAATATCAATTCGGCCTGGGGTTTCAAGTTCCAGGCCCACGGTTTTGGGGCAAAGGTCCCAAACATTATGCTCGGTATGTTATACGTTGCTTTCTTATCTATTCGGTAAGCAAACATTATAGTAGTGATAGCTGACTATAGAGTTGAATCAAAGATTTCAAAATAATGATTCATGCTCTCTTGATTTGATTTGTCTTTGAGACTTTTGAAGTTGGAAGCACATACAAGAAACAAAACTTGACATGCATGTTGACAGATTGCTAATCTAGATCACACATTTGACAGTCTAACATGCTCTTGATATATTCTCAATTGTTTTTTTTAACGAGCGATACTGGGAGAGGGGAAAATTAAACGTAGGACCTCAGGTGCAGGAGTAAATGCTCTTAACTTCTCAATTCTAATGCAATCTAATTCCAATCTAAGTACACACCAAAGTCCTGTATCTAAAATCTGTTCATTACAGAGTAGAAAGCAGACTGTCAATTTTCTGGTCTATGCTCTTGAACAATCAGTTCAATTTTTGTTTATCCGTTTCATGGAATTCCCATTTCATTTGGGAAACCATTCGAATTAGAAACCAACTTTGGCTCTTGTAAAATAAAAGCTTCATCACAATTTATCCTGTTAAGGCTATGGTGAACTCATCAGGCACACAATCCTTTTCTTTCCCTTCCAGATTGCAGCAATCTAACAGAACGAATTATACAGTTCTCGTGAAGCACCCAAAAAATAGAAGAAAACAATTGTTATGGAGAACTCAAATGACACAAGCAAGCTCACCTTCTCAATCATTATTTTTGTATCTCTGCGGGATTAGGGTTACCATTTATCCAGTTACCAATACTAGTATTAAGATCAGTACATGAATCAGAAAGTAGCTAAATGATTCTAAAGTCAGAACATAAGCTTAAGGTTATATGCAGCCAATGATTACAAACAAATAGTTGCTCAGATCTATGTCATTCCCAACTTAAAACTTCTCATAAAGTTTTTTTCCTCCGTGGAACATAGTTTAGTCGTGAACGTTTGTTTTTGACAGGAGCACACCAGCTTTGACCATCAGCAGCCTTGGCTCTTAATTTTTTGTACTCTCTTGATCTTAAAACTGCCTCCATAATGTTTATATCTTCACGAATTTCTTGCCGGGAAAGAGATGCCAGACCAGGAAGTATGTCCCTCTGAAAATCTTTCAATCTTCTCCCCCTTCTCAACTTAACACCAAAATCCTTTCTATCAGTATAATCTACTTCAGAAGGCTCTGATGACACACAATAGTCATCCGTGCTGCTTTCTGTTAGCTTTAGTGTGATTAACTCGAAAGAATCAGAAGAATACTGTGGTTGCTCACTCTCCTTCATTTCCATCTTATTTGATACCCCTACTTTGTAAGGACAATCTTGATAACCAGATGAGTTCTCCAATGAGATTCCGACAAGTGCTTCGGCTGCCTCTTTGATCAAAACATCGAGTTCAGCTGATTCTCCTTCCTTGTTGAGGCATTTGTGTTTTAATTGACTGTTGTTGGAAGATCTTTGGTCCTGTTCAACCATTAAGGTTTCTGAAACTTGATACCCTACATGTGTTTCTGAAAATTGATCAACACAAAAGGGATTTGAGTTTTTGTACTCAACCTCTGATTGCATAGTCTTTATGCTGCTGGAATCATTATCACCAATGCAGCCCGGCTTACATGAAGCAGAAGATATATTTCCACGTCCATCTTGATCTCTTTTTTGACTAAGATCAGAATGTGAAAATATAGGGTCTTTTGCTTTGTTGTTCTCATGGTTTACTTGTTTAGCAGCTTCACATGAATGAGTTCGACTGTCTAGGAGTCCCATGATGAACCCGTCATTTCCCTTACCAGGGTCATTACTGTGACAACAAACTGCTTCACGGAGATCTATCTTGGATCTACACGCAGCCTCCAAACTTACATGGCCCATTTCACTTATGCTCAAGACATCAACTTTGGAATTCCCACCCCAATAATCTGTTCTCTCATTTTTTCTTTTGGAGTTCATGGAAGCAAAATCTCCAGAATCATCTTTTTGAAACGTTTCAGAAGCTTTATTTGAGTCATTATCATTTTTCTTTTTCCCAGTTCCGAAACAAGGAGTGCCTTCCTCTACCTTGCCAACTAATCCATGAAAAGCATGTGATGAGCTTGCTGTTGAAGGATGGGCTACTGTAGGATCATTTGACATACAAGATGAATCATCATGCTGAATTTTGTTGAGGTCCAGAAGCCCTGCTTCACATGAACCGAAATGTTGCCTCGTGGTGGACAAATTGTTAATTGGGATACCACCAGAACGCTTTTTTAGTCCTGAAAATGAGACAAACACAAAGTCCAAAATGCACAAGACTATAAGTTCTGAAATTCAACTTAATGCAGACTATGAAAGATAGCTCTACACAGATAAATGAGCCGTACCTTGATTGAAAGGATTCCACTCACTGTAATCTGAAAGGGGGTTACTGTCTGCAGCATGAAACAATAGATTTTCCTTCCCACAACTTGAGACGATAGGATCAAAAAGGACAGAAACTTCAGAATCGTGCTTGGCCCCGAAGTTTTTTATTGGAGTAGCACTGCTGAAAGAGGGTGAGTGTTCCAAACCCTCGATTGATGTCCTCTCAATTGATTCTTCTAAATCAATCACTTGCTGTGAGCAGGAATGAGTTTCTACATCAAACCAAGCTCTCTTAGTACCTCCCTCTCTCCTACTGTCTTCTTGAATGCTCAGGGAAAGCGTCAACTCTGCTGGATCTGTGAAATTATCACAACAAAGAGAACTCCTAAGTCCCACTGTTACTTTCAAGTGGTCTCTTGTATTATTATTCTTCAGGAGATTCTTACCAATATAGCTAATGCATTGAACCGAGGGAAGTTTAAGATCAGGAGTCCTCGGCTGAATCTTATCATATACACCTTTGTACCCTTCTAAGAAGTCCTGAAATATAGATTGTGTTAATACAACTTGAAAGACAAGCACAAGCACAAGCTCATCACATTAACACTATCAAATTACAAATAATCCGAAATGAAACTAGGTCGCTCATCGACTCATTCATAGAGGCTAGATATTTCTTTTTATCTCTGCCTCAGGCTACACCAAATGCAGATAGATCTTAAGAGTAAATTAGTTGGTAAGCATGTAACAATGAAAAAACCATATTTTGGTCCAAATATTATTTATTAGACCTGCGTCTATCAGTTCCAAAAGACCACCAAATACATTAGTACAAAAAAATAGCAAAAGGGAAGCTGGCTGCCTTCCATTCTCCTTTATCATAGAACCACTCATCCTAAGGCTTAGGAAGTCAAAGATCACTTACCATAGGTTCATCTCGTGTAGAATTTCTGCAAGGTAACAGAGTTGACTCAGCACTAGCCTTCCTGAAATTGTATCTACCAAACTCCATCCTGCCAACGTTCTGCATCAGTGCCTTCTGTATCCCATATAGATGATGGAGTTCATGAACCTGGAGGGAAATCAGTAGCAAGAAAGTTAAGTAGAGTGGAGCCTATTTTGTGCACTTTTTCTCCTTAAACACATGTAAGGCCACTGTACATTGGAGCCTGCTTTAGAGTAAAAGCCAAAGTTTCTAATCTGCCAAAATTAAGCAGCATAAGGATTACATGTGTAATTGATACATATTCTGTTTTTCAAACCTTACATACCATCAATCAATGTCAAGGTTTGCCCAATACAAAGTTCTTTTATATGTTAACTAACCAATCATGTACATGCACACAAAATTATGCCCGTGCATGACTCAAATTTATCCTGTGATTTATAATATCGTAATACCTGCTTTTTAAACATAACCTCCTGGTTGAGCATAGTTGTCCTGAAAACATCATTCAGAGAACCAGTGTATGCTTGCATTGACTTCGGATCAAGATCTCCTCGCATCAACATATTTATTTTTCTGAAATTACATCAAATCAGATTTTACATATTTAAGCACGAAAAAGTTTATAAAGGATTTCCACAATGTACTACATACCTAGTACTTCAAAGCTCTGTCTAAGAATTTCACGTAATAATTCAGTACTAATTAAATTTAAGACCACCAATTGATGAAAAGGATTGTCTTTTCTCTGAAAAATGCGAAGTGGTTTGTAAAGAAATACTGTACGGCAATTGTTACACAGGCATTGAAACCGGCAAACCAAATCTTTGTTCTTTACCATTTGAAGGAAAAGTTTTCCCATAACTTGTTATGTTCTCTCACTATTTACCCACCACCTGACTTCTGTTTGTGACTATCTATCTTGTACCACCTATTCCCCCTCCCTCTCCTCAGTAGTTTGACTAACAACTAAACTATTGAAATTAAAATTAAAACAATATAATAAACGCAAATGCACTTCATGATTGCACTAATCAGAATTAATGGCTAATTAATGAGACCTCTATATCCTAGTTGCAACACAATGAGGTAGAAATGATGACTCTTGATAAGATGATATCCTGTTTGTGAGACAAGTTGGATTAAATTCTTCATTTCTGCTATTTGGGGAAAAAGGTTTTGTGGTGGATAAGTAACTAACATGGCTCATGGAAATGGTTTTGTTGACAAAGTACTTCCAAGTAAAGGCACTATACTATTAATGCATCAAACTATTTGGAAAAACAGAGAAGAAAAACCAAAAGATCATTCATTACTTTGTAACAACTCAAAGAACAAAAGAACCTGGTTATCAACAACTACACAACACCATTCAAACTTCAACACCCAATTATTTCAATGTAACATGCCAATAAACAGAAATCCCATATGGCAAAATTCAAGTAGACGATAACCCAAATTCCAAAAACACTTCAAACCCCAGTATATGCGTTTATGCACTCATATCACACGTACGAACATACGCATACATCTGTAAAATTTGGAAATGCAGAGAGAAGGAGAGAGAGAGTACCAAGACGTAAACGACCCAAAAGCCGAGCTTTTTGACATCCCAATATCTGCAGCAGGTTCTTCTTCTTCTTCCCCTTCTTGTTGCTCCACTAAATTCTCATTTTCCGCAACATAGCAGAGAGACTATGATCCAAGACAAATGCAGCCAATGATTCAACTTTGTAGCTTTTGTAAGGATGAAAAGAGAGAGAGAGAATCGGATCACACTGGGGCCATCACAAGAGAAAGAAAAAGATAATTATGTGCAGAGAGAGAGAGAGAGAGGGAGAGAGTAACAAGTAACAAGCGCAAGGATGCGCGTGGGGGATCACATCCCAGTTCTTCCCGCAACCCAAATCATAGCCTCTCTTTCTCTGTCTGGCGATTTTTTTATGTCTCTTTCTAGTTTCTCTCTGGGTCGTTGGGATTCCTTCTTTTCTCTCTCTTCTTTATATTTTATCTCTATTTCTCTCTCTCTCTCTCTGCACTTAGATTTCTGGTTTAAGGAGGGAGGAGCTGTCACCTGTCAGACGTGCTTCTGCTGGGACAGTTTCAACTACAAAAGATACTAATATATGCGTCTTCCCCATCACTTGTTTCTTTTACCTTCTTATCCCTCTTAATCGTCTCACAAATTACATTTTTATCCTTGTAATCAGACTTTGATATTTTGGATTTGTTCACTTTTTCTTTTTAAGAGATATTTTTGGTAGGGTCAGGGGTTGGGGTAATACTACTTGCAAAATAGTAATTTTTAATTGTTGGAAACGTAGAATCGAATTTCAGATACCTTTCAATAAATTTAAATTATTATTTTTGAATATAAGTGATAGTGGAGAGGAGAATTTCTCACACACTAGACACTACCGAAGTGCCTTGAGAATTCGAACATGAGACCACTGATTTGCTTTCACTTTTTTAGTACAAAGCTTTCTTGTGCTTCAAATAAATATTATGTTGCCAATGGGTTCCCACCACAGTGGTGGTGGATTCCCCCTTCCCCCCATGGCACCCAGGATCGAACCCCAGTGGGGTTTCTTTCCTCCAATGTAACCAAAAAAAAAAAAATATATTATGTTAATGAAAACAAATATTAGTATTTTATTAATTTTCTGCTCATGGTGGGATGTGAGGGAAAAAAACGAGTGATACTTTTTTCCTCACAATAGAATACACATCGCATTGCCAACGGGGTTTAGTTGTGGAAAAGTCAATGATCCTAAAGTTCGAACCCTAATAGTATCTTACTAGTATATATGTGTGATAAAATTTTCCTTTCCCTTCTTAACTTTGGAAAAAGAGAAAAAGAAAAAGAAAAAAAGAAAAAACATAGCATTGGCCCTATCATGACAACGTCTTTATTTTTAAGTTTTGGACCACATAACATCAAATATGCACTAGAAAGATGACATTGCAACCACCCAAGACCCTTACTTAAAGTGACACGAGGGAGGATGCGTGAATGATAGATCTTGGGTTCAGCATTTGTAAACTCAATAGATGTCAGTTTTCTCGTCAAGCTTGTTGCTTTCAAATTTATATAGGATTTAACTATTCTTGTGGAGTAATTTTCTCTTTAATTCTTAATATATCGCATTCTTATAGCAATTTGACATATCGATCGAAAATGAAGAAGAAAAGGCCACTGTTTTCATAATAACATGCATTTCATGATGAATTGGTTCTGGTGTGGTCAGGAAAATGACCAAGCATAAACGCATGAGCCCTCCAATTTATGTAGGTAGGGGCGGTAGGACCACATGTCCCAAAACTTTCTTTAGATGAACAGGTTGTCAAACTCTAAGCTGTTGTTAGCCTGTGAGAAGCTTTCTAGACCTCACTTGTCTAACATGACCTATTATTGTTTCACATTTCTTGAGCGGCTGGAAAAACAAGTTGCAGTTCATCTTTCACATCTATTGGGTTCCAGAATTACAGATAGATAGATAATATATATTGGGTTCTTCTAACGCTGGACCGACCACTAATATCTCACTGATTTTTATATATATTTTTGTAACTCTGAGAGATTCTTGGGCACAATTTATGTATCCTTTTCAGGTGTCGTATTGAGCGGTCGCGAGGACGATTTGGACGCTTGTTGGTTTCGTGAGGATGCTATGCAAGTTCCCAAAGGAGCATGGCACTAAATGTTGGATAATTAGCTACATGATCTTTATTGGTCCTGCCCGGACCCCAACCGGCCACCTCTCGAGACCCTCTGGCAGGCCAACTCTTTCACCGGGCACGGCCACTCACTGGCCACCTTTGGCCGCCTTTTATAAGCCATTTTATTGAAAAGCAATAAGTGGTATTTGTGAGAATGGAAGTTCTCTCCTTATAGTTGAAAAATATGCATTACCACCAACTATTTGCGCTCACTGTCCATGTTTTGACCCAACATTTATGACGAGTGCCTAGAGAAGGATTTGATGCGGTTTGTACTTTGTGTGCGTCGAGCCACAGGTTCAGTTTTATTTTCTCTTCTGGGCCTCTGGCCCCATCCTCACCGAGCTTCAGCTTCGTATAGTTTGGCCCTTTCTTTTAGGTAAAGAGGAAACAGTTTCTTAGCCCAATGGGCTTATACAGCCGGCCCATGACTTAAGAATAACAAACTGTGCCATCTAAACACAACTGAAAGGGGTACACCGTACACGTGGGTTAGGCGAGTTGATCAGGGCAATGAGCCTGCGCCCCCTTGTATCCAAGTTCGAATTACTCTCTCAGTAAATTAGATTAACTTAGAGTAGATTATTGCTTCTATATAACATAAAATAGAGTAATAGGGATCGATGCTTGGCCAAGAAGCAAATGCATAGCCACACAACTATCGTGTTCCTGTGCCCTTTGAAGATAGGTTTTTTTTTTTTTTTTTT